TTGAATGCCCGGAATGGTTGAGTTGATGGTCTTGTGGAGTGCTTCAAGATGTCTTTACCACTGACAGGGGCTGTTTAGGTAATTAGCTGTTTAGCAGAGGTAACTAAACCTGGGACTCACTTAGGTTCCAGGCGCAGTGAACAATATTAAATTGCCAAGAATTTCCTTTTATGAAACGTCTTGGAGGGTAAAGATGACTCACATTTTCATTTGTCGTTACGGCTTTTTATTTTGCCATGCTTATAGATCTAATCGTATGGTCTTTTTAGCTGGACCTTCCCCTCCTCTATCTGATCGTTATCCTACAACTGACCATTGAAGTACACTACGCTATTTTTCATAAACTTATACTAATCAAATTTTCATCAGAGATCTATATCTTTCCCCCCCCCTCAGTCGTGTTTATAACTTAATATACATGATTAATTTGCCTTACTAACGATTTTTTGCTATAAGAGCGGTTGCATTCGGCGCTTATCCCTTGCTCTAAGAGAAAATGTCGTACTTTGTATATTTTTTTTTAATACTTAATCGGAAACCGCATGTACGCTCCTAGTTTTGATCTTGCCTTCTTTATTATTTTATTATCGACAAACTTATTTTCTTAGGTCCTAATCATGCCCCCTACATACACTCCACCACCATCCGTTCCGGATGACATAAATGAGGACATAAGTGACGAAGAGATTGCGTTCTTGGAAGGCGAGGATTACGAGGTCGTTAATGAGCCTGATCAGGGTAAAAGCTATTTGCACCAATATTTCCATTGTTTTAGTAGCCTTTTTGCTATTTTTGCACCAGCAGCATCCGAAGGGTTGTCGACTTTTAGGAGCACATCCTTTAGCTTATTGTGCAACAGGAGTATCACCAGGGTGCAATATGTACCTGTGATATATTTGTTACGAATATTCGCAAGAGACGTTTCTAATAATTTGCACTGCCTACAATTAATTTGAGTGTCCACCACTCACTAAATAAAGTCACAACCCTCTTTCTCGTGTCACAGTGTCAGCACAGTCAAATCCGCGCACTTCATCTCACCGCGTTGACAACAATCAATCACATCCATTTGACCGTTGCGAATGTCAATCGTGTGCTAAAAGCAAACTGTTCACATGGGCGTTAATTATTTCATCCTGATAGCAGGCTTGCGCAGCGGCTGCCGTACTCCCTCATCCACTTAGGCCCTGTGGCAAAACCTAGCTAGTATGTCCAGAGGTGCGATCGGGCGCAGTGCCTGACAAAAATAAGCATGTCTACGCGGACATGCGCCTGCTGCGGTCCGCGCGTGATAGACCAAGTTCCGTCAGAAACAAGAAGTAATTGGCTCGGATTCCATGTCATGCAGAAGGAGTCATTGCTGTGGACTCTGTTTTCCCTCGTGTTCGTCTTTTAGGGTAACACAACTAAAAATGAGAGTTCGGTTATCATTTCCAATGCTACCCAACGTGTGCTCCACAAAATGGTGACGCAGGGACGGTGACTTGTGCCGTTGAGTTTCGCAGCACCACTCATCTCGTCTTCCACCTGGGCCCGATGTCAACTTAAAAAAAGTAGAAAGTTTAAACTACCTCGGAGCGGGCGAATAGTATGCGAGCCGGAATACTCAATCGGAATCAGACCCTTGATATTGGATGCTGGAATGTGCGAAAGTTCTTAGCCCCTGGTGCACAAAGCCTGACAGTGCGCAGCCTTTGTGAGGACAAAGTAGATGTCTACTGCCTCTCCGAAGCCCGAATTCCTGACTCACGCCCTCAGGAAGGGAAGATTCCTGGAACTAATTCTCACTTCACCTTATACCTCAGTGGTCCACATGACTCCTCCGGCAGACAGTTTTAAATACCTCGGAGCGAGGT